TATGACCTTATCATACACTCAAGATTTTTTAGTCTCTCTCTCCCCCCCCTCCCTCCCTCCCTCCCTCCCCCCCCCCACCCACCTCTCTCTTCCACAAGTCTCCCGACCAACCCATATTGTCATCCCCTTAAAGGAACCCTTATTGTAAAACATCTGTTCTATGTGTTCCTTTATGCTTTCTTCACATAGCTATTCCTATACTTGTACACATACAACATAGTGAAATATACAGTATTTTACATAAGCCCAGTCATAATATAAACAATTAAGCACTTTGTTTTTCTCAACTCAACACCTTGGCAGGAATTCCTAGACATCACCTAGTATAGTGATAATTCGTTCTTCTTATTGGCTACATAATATTCCATTTGGGAATAACAGTCATTTTGTAATCTTTCCTTTAGTTAGGCATTTGTTCTGCCCTCATGTTTCTGCCATACTGAAAAATGTTAGCTGGGCTCAGTGCTGGAGATATATATAGATATAGATATATAGATATATAGATATATAATTTTTTTGTATTTAGCACAAGGTCTACAGGGTCTCACTATGTAGATCAGACTCATAGTGATTCTCCTGTTTTCAGCCTCCCAAGCTCTGAGATTACAGGCACGTGCCACCAAGCCTAGTCTCAATAGTCATCTCAGTGCACCCCAGGGACGGGGCCCGCATAGCAGGCTGAGGATTGAACGCTGGCTCTGCACTCTGTCTAAGCTGGCGCTTTAGTCCACTGGGCTATCTGGTCAGCCCCCAGTGCTGGATATTTTTAATCCCAGAAACTGAATAGGCCAAGGCACATTTGAGGCCAACGTGGGCAACTTTTTAAAACACTTTTTTTGAAACAGGTGGGCATGTAGTTTGGTGGCATAGTGCTCACCTCACGTGTGAGACTCTGGTTCAATTTTTAGTTCTGAAATAAAATTATAGTAAAGAATCTCTTCAAAAAATTATTGTAAGGGACCAGGGAGATAGCTCAGTGAAGAAAGTGCTTCCTGGAAAGTACAATCCCCTGAGTTTGAGCCCTGGTACAGAAAAAAAAAAAAATCCCTGTATACTGGGATTTTAGTTTTGTGGACTAAAACAACAACACGAAGAAGTTTTTATGATCTTAACCTTAGAGTTATTATAGAGTTGAAAGTATTTTTGCTTTTGATAGTTCACTCTTCTAAAAACCTTTAACAGTTGATACTTTTTGCAACAATTTGTGAAGTCACACTTGTTCTGACACTGTATCTGGACATGTCACCCTTTTTAATATTTCATTTGCCTGGAATAAAGTTATATCTCATTATTTTAATTTATATTTTTGTCTTCTTGTTAATTCATATGCCTTCCCTTACCTATTTCCTTTTTTAGTTTGCTTGTCCTGAGTGTCCTAGCTGTATATGTGCTCCGTTTTTCTATCAGTCCATCCTTTATAGATATTTGTTTGCACTCTTTGTATACTAAAAATCTTTGCTATAAATACAGTTTTCCACGTTTGCCATGCATCTTTTGCTTTCAGTGTCATATAAAAACTTTGTAGCCGTTTTGCAGAATGGAGGCCCAATCCCAAGGCCTCCTGCCTGCTAAGCAGTCTGCCACTGCACTCATTCCTAGTCCCTCATCGATGCTCAGCACGCAAACCTGTGTAACTTCTTCTATGACTTCTGAACTTTACAGTGTTCACACCTCTTGATTATTCATGAATTTCCCTCCATTTTTCAAGAGGTTTGTTGATTCTTTTATTTACATTTATCTTTAAAGCCTCAAGAATTTATTTTGATGCATGTGACAGTTTGATGGCCTGATTATAACAGAAAACATACAGCATTATGCTGTTCAGCCCCAAGCCTCAAGGCCAAAATGGATGTGACCTCTTACTGTGTCTACACGCCTCTACGGCCACCACCAGTACTACACCTACCCCTGGGCCACCTCTGCAGCCAGGAACAGACCAAAACCAAGGAATGGTCCCCACTATCCAAAATTTCTGTTTCTATTTTAAAATATAGAGGTAAAAAAGAGTTAAGTGGCAAGAAGTATGGAGTTAGGTTTTACATTGCTTTTCCAAGGCTGTCATCACAACGTACCACAGACTGAGTGGCTTACCAACAGAAGTATTTCCTCCAAGTCCAAAACCAAAGAGCCAACATGATTGATTCTCTCCAAAGTGTCTCTCCTCAGCTTGTAGATGGGCTTGCCCAGGTCTTCATGTGGTTCTCTTTCTGTACATATGTCTATGTCCTAATTTCCTCTCCTTGTGAGAATACTAGCCAAATTGTATTAGAACCCACTCTGATGACTTCATTTTATCTTAATTCTTTAAAGATCCCATCTCAAAAAAAGTCACATTCTGAGCTATTGTTAAGACTTCAAAATGTGGAGACAGGACCAGGGTTCAATCCCTGGCACCACATGCAGTGTTGGCCCTGCCCCTGGCACACTGAGCTATCAACAGAGTCTGGGCATTGTGGTGCATGCCTGTAATCCCAGCACTAGGAAGGCTGGAAACAGGAGGATCACTATGAATCTGAGCTATGCAGTGAGACCCTCCACAGGAAAAAGAAAATGTGGAGACAGGTGTGGTGGCATGCACCTATAATCCCAGCACTTGGAACCTGAGGCAGGAGGATCACCTTGAGTCAAAGCCAGCCTGGGCTTCATTGTGATGTCAAGGCCAGCCTGAACTACATAGCAAGACCCTGCATCAAAGGAAGGGGGGGGGCAGATAGCTCAGTGGATTAAAGCGCCTGCTTAGGCAGACACAGGGGCCAGGGGTTCAGTCCCTGGCCTGCCATGCTAGCCCCATCCCCAGGGTGCACTGAGATGGTGACTGAGACTGGGGGTGGAGGTGAATGCCTGTAATCCCAGTGCTTGGGAGTCTGAAAAACAGGAGAATCACTATCAGTCCGATCTGTGTACTGAGACCCTGTAGACCCTGTACTAAACACATTTTTAAAAAACACTTTAAAACGTGAGTTTTGAGAGGGAACCATGTGAAACTATAACAGGTTTCAACCAGCAGGTACAAGCAGCAAGTACAGTAAGTATCCAGTGACAGGAAGAGCCACGGCAGGCAGTAAAAGCCACCAAAGAGGAGGCCCCAGACTCAGGCACTGAGGCTGCTTGGCCCTCAGCCAGGTTGTGGAACTCTCTGCTATGAGGGGGTGAGAGCAGGAAGAGGCGGAGCTGCTTCCACAGTGTGGCCAGCACCAAAAAAGTCGCTGGGCTGACCAGTGGAGCTTGTTCAGCTAGAGGGATGGTGGAAGACAAAGGACACTGCTGGGGTTGTGAATGACCTGGCCCTGGACTTGAAAGGGAAGGTGAAAAGAACCATTCTTATACATTTTTTAAAAATTGGGTTTCATAAGTGATATGGAATTTAAGGAACAAAATATCAGGGTCTCATCATTAAATAAAGTATGGATGTCGAGTTAAGGCTCTGCTGCAGTTATTAAAGCCCAGAGTGTGGTGGCAGTCATACCTGAGAGGAAATAGTACATAAATATTACACATTTCAAAGAATGTGTTAAAAATTGGAAGAAACATAATTGCTTATCTGGGGCTGGTGAGATAGCTCAGCAGACTAAAGTGCCTGCTTAGACAAACTTAGGCAAGCACAGGGACCAAGCTTCAATCCCTGGGACCACATGCTGCACCAGCCCTGCCCCCAGGGTGGGCTGAGCCAGCCGCAAATAATAATAATAATAATAATAATAATAATAATAATAATAATAGCTCATCTATAGGAAATGAAAACAGATGAAACAAAGGTGTCACATATTTTGAGCCTAGAAGACATAAACATTGTCACTGAGATTGTAGTGCCTGGAATTTTACATGGAGCAAAAAGACAGGCACTGGTTCATTAAAGTCTGAGAGGGCACGGTAGAAGAAATCAAGGAGGTGGAACCCAAGGCACTGAGTGGCTGGCAGGAAGCACATGATGCCAACTGAGACAACTCAATCTGGGAGGCAAGGGGAAGGTCTCATTCTCATCCAGCGGTATGGGGGGTAAGCCCAGGGCCTTTGCACTGGGCTACATCTGCAGTCCTGTTTGTTTTTATTTTGAGACTGGGCCATGCTGAGTCTCTAACTTGGTCTAGCCTGGGCTCAAATGTGCAATCCTCCCTTAGCCTCTCAAAGTACTGGAATTGCAGCATGTACTGCCGTACTAAGCTTATGTAGCAAACTGTGATTAATCATGTACTTGTGCCAAATATTTCCTTAAGTGCTGGGAACATACAAATATGTAAGAGGAAGTGTCTGCCTTCGGACACCTCAGTCCCAGCTGCAACAGCAAAGGGTGGTCAGTAACGTTCAGTGGCAAAGAGGTCAGCGATGATAATAGCAGAGAAAGGACCTTCGGGTTTTCCCATGCCGGGCACCCCTCACCTTATACAAGGCATTTTCATTGTCTGTCATGTAAATCAGATTAAATAAGGATCATTTGAGGAGAAAATGAAGACAGAATCAAGAAGTCCTTAGTGCCCAGCTCTTTTTCTTGACTTTCATGATATTTACTGAGACTTTCTGCCATCTTCAATTTAATTTCTGTTACAATAGTAATGTTTTGATATGTTAATTCACACTTTAAATGTTAAAGTCAAGATAAAATTTGGTCAGCGAGTATTTTCAAATGTTTCTAAAAATATTAAAAATATGTAATGACCTGATAACTGTTATTTTTATGTTTTTCACCATTCAGACTGAACTATAAGTGGATGTGACTAATTCACTTTAAAAAGATAAAATTTTGCAAAAGCCAGTGGAAGCTTTTTAATGATCAACACTGATAAAAGGGGAGAAGGGAAAAATTAAAGTCAGCAGTAGACAACTGAAGGAAGGCATGTTGTGAGGAGTAGGGCAAGGACTGGCTGGGGATTAAAAGTGTTCCCTCTTTCTCCCAGCATTAGCTCCAGTTGTGTGTTTACAATTTCCTGTTTACCTTAAAAGGAAACCATTGCATGATAATAGTCTTGGTAATTAAACACTTGTCTATGATCAACTTCTTACAGGTATTTCTAAAGGAGAAGAGCCAAAGCTTCTTAGACCACCAAGAAGACCCCGGAAACCCAAAATGTTGAACAACCCTGAAGACTCCACATACTATTATCTACTCCATGTAAGTGGTTCACTTTTATTGTCAGGTGGGAGCCGTGGGAGCTCCCAAAGATGGGTGGAAATGGCCAGCCAGCGGCAGACACCTTGAGGTCTTCTCTTCCTGACCCTCCCCAGTGGAATGTCTGGGTACTTTGCTCCCCAGACGCTTCTCCTTGTGCTCCAGCCTTGTCCCATAGTCCTGTGCCTACGATGTCCTCCCAGCAGCTTTCTCTGTCCTCATTAGACTGAACTTATAGACAAATATCAGCCCAGTAAAGGAAATCTGCCATTGTGGGATCTCTCCACAAAGGGATCTTACTAGACAGGGACCTTAAAGTAAATGGTTATAGTGACACATGAGAGGAGAAAAGAAGAAAGTGGGTATGTGTTAGACATCAGTTAAATCCCATACCTAGAAGGCAGTGTGTTCATAACAAATGGGCCCTCTAATTCGAGAGATGGCCCTTCACGTTGTAGCTATTTCTGGCAGATCATGGTTCTGAGACACAGAAAAGGGTGTCCAAGCCATCACATCAGGGACATTAATTTTATTAAGGTCTTCTAGCTGCACCCATGGCTTGCAGCTTGTGAACTCACTGACGTCAACCCTGCTAGGTTGCCCTTCTTCTCCTGTTCCTGTTGTCCGTGAATGCCCTTATCATCGACTTGGTTTCCAAAGCAAAGAACCTGGGAATCACCCTAGATCTCCCCCACCTCATACCTGTTACCTAGATGATTTGCGCTGAGCTGGAGCTTCTACCTGCAAACATTCCCTCCAGTCATCTCTTCTAACCTCTCAGCAAATATCCTGTTTCACATCATCATCTTTTCTCATCTGGATTATCTCTAGCCCCACCCAGCTACTTCTAATCCCATCCTCCCCATGTTACATCAGAAAATGTCTCTAAATGGGAAATTTCAGTGTGTTCCTCTCTTGCTATTGACAGTCCTTTTCACAGCTGAGCAATTAGTTCCACGAGCATAAACTCTGATTTCTACCAAGACCTTGCTCATTGGATTTAGGTTGGATATTCCACCTTGCCTCCTGCCCCTCCATTTCCACTCACCACAGATAACTACTTGATGCCTTGTTGGTGCAAGGCAACCTCTCCTGGTTTCAGGACCTTTGCACCTACCTAGAGCACTTACTTAACCCCAACTTCCCCATTGCCACAGTGCCAGCAGCATTTCTGCACCCATGGAAGTTATAGGACACACCTCAAGAAGAATGTGTTGGAACCCAGAGAATGTGTTAGAAGCAAATTTTCTCCTCCATGGTAGAAAATAAAGCTTGTACTTGACTTCCAAGTTAGAGGCCTTCTAGTTCTTCTCATTCCCTCTGATGATTTCTCTTCAATTTCCCCAGAAGTCTCTTCTCCCTCTTCGTAATGCCAAGATCAATTTTTCAGTCTCCTTTCATTTTCTTTGAACCATTTCATTAGCTGTTCTGACATCAATTACTGCCCATTTCTTTCTTTTTTTTCATAATTTTATTGAGAAACAAATAGCAATGAGACAGTTTCAGATCAAATTGGTAAGACAGTTTCAATAATTAACACATTGCATACATTCTTCCTAGTGGTTAATTGCTGTACAAGATGCGGACATAATATTCTATTTACAAATACCATTAGAACAAATCCCTCTATTCATTAAGAGAATGTAACTATATATCTATCCTAACCACTTTGAATACACAGATACAAAATGGACATTCATCTGTATACCCTTTTTTTGTTAAGTTCCCTTCTTTGAATATTATAGGTGTGTAAACTCAGCAGAATATTCTAAAAGAGTCCAGTAGCCCATAATAGTATTGGGTCTTCCGCTTCACTGGCAATGTCAGAAATTGTTGACCTGAGTCCCCTGTAGCTCAACATAACAGCATGGCTTTACTTCTTATATTTTGTTTTTATACTTTTCTGCTGGATGGTTAAGATCAAGGTAAAGCAGGACCTATGCAACAAGAGGTGTAGCTTTTGGGTCTGATAAGGTCAGTGAAATCCCCTCAGGATTTATCCTGAGATCCTGTACCTCAGATTGTAGAACCTTTGTCAGTGTCAGCCATGTGGATGAGTCACGGCCATTGCTTCGCCAATGTGCTCTGTGTGAAAGCCTGAGAGAATGTTTTCTCTCCATGTGACTCTCCTTAAGCACACTCTACATCATCGGTCACTTTCCTTTTTGGCCCCATAATCTCCTTGATCAGAAAATTTGGGACACTACCGAGTTACATGATGTAACAGTACAAGTTACTGTCTATTTCTGAATATCTATCTCTGGCCTGGGTCCCTGTCTCCAAACTCAAATATCGCGCCACCTATATTTTTACATATTCTACATTCATGTATATATTCTATGTGGACACAAACATTTTCATACATGGGTGCACTCATAAAGCATTGTTGAGACATGAGTCACATGCCATATAAAGCACCCACTTAGAATATACAACAATCACCACTATCAATTTTAAAACATTTTCATCACTCAAAAAAATTTCTACCTATTGGCAGCCACTCCCAAGCCCTCTACAGAACTGCAAGCCCTAGGTGATCATTTTCTGCCTCTTTGAGGTATTGTGCAGAATCACATACTACTTAGTTTTTTCTGAATTACCAAGTAACTTTAGAAGTTGGTAATCTGTTATCCTGATTCCTCTTATCTTTCCTTAAATCCATACTGTAATTATCCTTATAGATTGCTATATATTATATCATTTTTAAATTCTTCTATTCCCTTTAGAAGTCAATCCAGGAAGAAAAACGAAGACCAAGAAAAGACAGGTAATTATTATTTCTAGATTTCAATGAGTCATTTTGTTCAAGCAAAAATATAAATCCATGTGTTTAGATTTTAAATCATATTTTATGTGGATACATTTGAGAAGAATGTGCTGTCAACACGTTTATATAGCAAATGTGCATAAGATCTGGTCTATTATAATATACTGAGCCAGTACAGTATGAGATACTGAGATCTCAAATATTTTTTGAGTGAATTATACTGTTCTAGTATAGAATTTGCTTTTCTTAGCAAACTGGATGATTTTAATTGGGGAATTTGAACATACCCATAGCCACATACTTCCTCCCTTGAATTCTTTTTTATTGTTGTTTGTCTTTGAACACATGCTAAGCCTCACATTTTATAATTTTTATGAATTTGTTAGGAAGGTACGATTTGTGTGTCCAACAAGTAAAGCACATTTAACTTCCTATGATTCTCTTTTTCAATAATATTTCAATCCATCAGTACTTTACTATTTGAATATTATGTCACTGTTTTAGTCAGTAGCCCTGTCAACTAATTTCAACACAGTGCTAGTGATAAAAGAGGTTCTTCTGTTAAGCATGATGAACACAGAGTTCCCCTTCGTGAATCTATCACATTCTGGAAATTCATTTATAGATTGGTATCTGTGACTTTCAAAAACATGCTTCCCTGGTAGATTCCCAAACCTGTTTACCTCCAAAGAAGTCACATAGGTGCTATAGGTGCTGAGACCACAGGGTCTATATTTGGCCTGACAGGGTCCAAGATTAATAAAGTTCAGGGCATACCATGGGTACATGTCATGCACAGGACTTAAAATCTCATCCAGTATTTAATCCCCGAAGGAAAAAGTCAGAAGTTTACCAGTGAAGGAGATAAATTAAGGCCATGAAAACTTGTGTGTGTCAAGGTACTGATAGATAATAAAATGTGAATGTATTCTGTGGTCATGTACAGAGGCCAGCTTTTCTGACTGGCCCAAGAGCCATTTGTGAATGCTGATGGCAATGCATAAACTGGGGCACGGTTAGCACTGGCTGTTCCAGTGTCTACAAGTTTTGTGTTAAGTTCAACCCCATTCTCTTCTTCATTTTAGTAAATACTGCTTATACACGCTTCAAGACTTGTCTAATTTTTATTGATATGTATGTGTTAACTCCTGCTAGGGAAATAGTTCAGTAGAATAAGCACTTGCCTGGCAAACTCAAGGTCCTAAGTTCCATCTCCCATACCACAAAAAAAAAAAAAAGGAAAAAAAAAAACCCTAAGTTGTAGTGAATACTTCAAAAGAAGAAAGCAAGTATTCTGTTGTTTTAAGTGAGTAGCAAGTTAGACTGATGGTATGATATGTTTATTTATTCATTTACAGTCAGGGAAAATTACTAGATTTGGAAGATTTCTACTATAAAGAATTTTTGCCCAGTCATTCTGGACCAAAGGAGTGTAAGCCTAGTTTGAGAGAACAAAGATCACGGGAACTCCAGAATCAGTTCTTTAAAGCTGATGAAAGGTACAAATAAACTATGGTGTGAAGTACAGCATGTTCAACCTTATACTCATAAGTCCACTTGTTTTAGGTGTAAACTTGTACCAAAGTATTCTTAGTGAGTATTGCATTAGATGAGTGATACATTGCTTAAAAGTAAAATCATAAATGTTGTATTATAATAAGTAGGCATTCCAGGGCTGGGGAGATAACTGCGCAGTCCAAGTGCCTGCTTGGCAAGCACGAGGACCTGGATTTGATCCCCAGTACCATATAGCATGCTGGCTCCAGAAGCCTGGGCACACTGAAGAGGCTGAGAAAGGAGGATCACTATGAGTCTGAGCTGCACAGCGAGACCCTGTACCAAATAAATAAATAAAATATTTTTAAAGTAAGTAGGCATTCCAGTTTTCTTAGCAAAATCCAAGTTTATGCCTCTTTTCTTGGTGTGACTGGAGGCCCATTTTAAAAATGTCAGTTTGTACAATAAACTATATGACCATCTTAATTATAACCAAATATGGGGGCTGGGGAGATAGCTCAGTGGAATGAGTGTTTCCCTGGCAAGCGCAGGGGCCTGAGTTCAATCCCCAGTTACGCAAATATATATATATATAATCTGAAATCTGTATTAAGCTCTAGAATGTTTTAGTTGATAGTATCTTATTATGCTCATAATTTCTTAGAATCAGGGATATCAGCCAAAACAATGATTTGGAGAAAAATACTAATTTTCAATTCAATTTCTCATCTTTTTTTTTTTTAATTTTAGAGAAGGGTCTACAGGGTGTTCAGGGTCTCACTACTAGATCGGACTCGTAGTGATTCACCTGTTTACAGCCTCCCAAGAGCTGCGATTACAGGTGCGGGACACCACGCCCAGTTGCTATCTCAGCAGGCAGTTGGGGGGCGGGGGCAGGGCCAGCTCAGCAGGTGCTTTAATCCACTGAGCTATTTGGTCAGCCCTGATTTCTCATCTTATCACCAGTTATGTGATGTTAACTTGTAGCTCCCCCAAATTCTTTGCAACATTTTGAGATTGAGGTTATATATACATTTACTTTCTGCTTCTGTAAATCTGACATTTTAAAATTCTACATGTAAAAGAGAGTATTTGTCTCTGGGTACCTGACTTATTTTGCTTGGCATTCTACCAGCTGTGAGGTCTGTTGGCTGTGAATTATTTCCACCTAAAGGATTCTTGCCTCTCTGATCTACAACTTCCAAAGCTTTGCTTGACTGTCATGTATATAGAGTCGCCAGGTTCCATTTTGCAAACCACTGAGAATTACAGCAAATGCATTTGGCCATCAGCCTGAAATTCCCACTATGTCTTTCTGAAATGTTCAGGGTTAGTGGGATGTACCAGGAAGAGGCCACACCTACCTCAGGGTGGATAAAGACATTGGCCTCCTCTTGCAGGTGGGTGAGAGCTGAAAGCCCTGAGGAGGAGCAGTGTGGCCCAGTAGCCAATCCCTACGACTACAGGAGGCTCCTGCGCAAAACCTCCCAACGCCAGCGCCTCATCCAGCAGTTGTAGCCCAACCACTGAACAGCCACCATCAGAAGCAGCTGGAGCCTTCAGGATTATGGCCACCACAGCAGGGTGGGGCAAAGGGACCTGCACTGGTGCTGCTAGCACTGGAGCAGAGATTTTGGTCTCTAGCAGGCCTGCCTGCTGCACTGCTCCCTCAGGGATGAGGGCCATCTAAGGTGCTCTGAAAGAAGAGAACTGGAGCCTATGTCTGGCTCCTGGGACTCCTGTACTCTCATCTCTCATCAGTCCCACGGTTAGGGCAAGTTTGCCCAGGTTCCCTAACGTATCTCTTTGTTCATTTGTTTGCAACTGCTATGGATGCACTTGCACCTAAATCATCACCAGCTCCTCCCATTTTTTTTATGACTTCAAAGATAATTTCTTCCCTAAAACTAGATTGCCCAGATGTACAGGACCCTATAAGGTGAGTTGAGTTAGCTAGAGCAAAGCCTGTGTGAGGCGGGCAAAAATGTTGAAAATGAAATTCATCTCAAACTTGAGCTTTTCTTTGCCTTGGTTGTTAAGATTGCTAAATAAAGGAAGTGCCCTGGAAAGTGTGTAGTTTGTGCTCTGGGTCACCCCTTTCCCTTTGGAGCCAGGCTTTGGCTACACAGCTGTGGAGGGGCCAGGAGGAGGCTGAGGTACCTTCTGTTTCCATCACCAAACTCCTAAACCCAATCCTCCATTTATAAAATATAGTCTGCCCCCATGTGTCCTTTAAACACATCTTCAAACAAATCTCCAGATACATACACATGCAGGCACTCGTACCTTCCCAACCCCTGTGGCTTCCTTTGTCCAGCCTAGAAAAATACTGGGCTCGTCATGGAGCTGAACTGTTAGATTTTAGGTAGTCATGCTCTCCAGAGTTGAGGCAGGCCCTACTGTTCCAAATTTGGGCATATTTGAGAAGGAAGGTTAACACAAGTAGACAGAGTGTTCCATTTGTCCATTGACTGCAACTTCTTTTAAGAACTGGTTTAAATCCTTCAATGGAAGATGCCTCGGGGTCTATGCAGCCTAAAGCAGGTGAGAAAATTGGTGAAATGGTGCCATGGGCAGCTGAATTGCAAAAGGGGTTCTGTCCACAAGGGAGCTTTTCCCTTCTGTAGGCACCCTCAGCTTCTGTGCCCCAGACGCAGCCAGAAGACTCTAGAACAATATTTGAGAAGTGAGAACATGTGCAGCAGGTTGATAACTTGCTCAGCAGTTGTAATATTGTTTCCAGAGAGTTAGCCCCAAAAGCTGTGCAGGGATGGACTTGATCCGTCTACCTGTGGCAGGACCAAACCCTAAATCCTCTCCTTCCCTAGGTTAGCACCGCATCCTTCCCAGTAGTTGTGGCAAATCACTCCCCAGCCTTGTGAAACTGTAGGCTGGATCCGGCCCTGGCACCAGGGATCTCTGTGCAGCAGGACCCATGCAAGGACATAGGAGAAGGAAAGAGTCCCAGCATCACCGGAGGTGGCCCAGCCTCCCATGTTGTCTGTCTGTCCACACTCCACCAGCAGCCTTTCAGGTGCAGTGGTGCAGAGCAAATGGACTCTTGGCTGTGAGACCCATCCTTCAGTCCACACTTCCTGGCAGCCTGATCTTTCGTTGCTAGACGTGGAAGCCACAGACATCTTCAGAAACTTCTCATTCTTCCTTTCCATTAAACCCCCACAACAGAACAAGCAGTTTACTAACCGAGACAAAACAAGAATGGCCACCACTTGGTGAAAAGTTGCAGTGTTTTTGTTCTTGTTTTCTTTTGTATTTCTTTAGGAGCTTTCTTTTCTTCCTTTCTTTCCAGCCATCCCTCCTGCTTTCTCTGTCCCTCCACACAAGGGAAAACTTACACCAGATTCAGGATTTTTCTTCAGCTGGGCCTGCATTCCATCTCTGGGTCAGTTGTGTACAAGAAATAGGTCATCCAAGGAAACCATTCCCTTCAGGGCCCGAGTGTTGGGCGCTCAGAAAGCCTTTTCCCCTCTCCCGCCTGCCTTCCCTTCCCACTCGGCGGCTGCCTCCTTTGTGAACTAATGACTGTAATTATTACCTCCATGCTCTCTTTTGTTAAGGCCAACCCCCGTTAAGGGGGGAGGGGGCAACACAGCTCCTCAGAGAAAGAGAAATTCTTTACAAAGCAAATTATTGTCTAGGGAGGGCTGGCATTAAGGAAAGACGAACCAGACCTCCATTTGCATTTGAAATACGAGGATTTAAAATTTTTTTATAAAATTGTAAAAACTATCATCAGATTTAAAGTACTCTGGAGCAGCGAGATTTAATAGCATTTAAAAAGTAGCAGGCAAGTCACTGCTATAAAAACGAAAAATTCAGGTGTGATGATTTCTACCTTCTTGCTTTAATCTATTTCTCTGGGATACTTTTGTGTATTAAACACTTGTTTTTAAGACTATATTTTCTAATATGTATAAAAAGTTCTGCACACACACACACACACACACACACACACACACACCCTCTGCTCACAGCAAAATATTGTATTTGCAGGATTTGGTGTGGGTTTAAACAAAGAACCAGGCAGGCTGAGTCCTCTGCTTGTGAGGCTGGAGCGAGTTTCTCTTCTGGCTGTCTAGGTCTGGATTTGGTACCTTTGTCACCTTCAGCCTCTGAGCTAGGAGGACTGCAAACAGAAATGGTGGTTGATTTGAAGAATGGTTGATTTGAGGCCCCCAAATGAGGGCCCCAGAAGGCAATGCCTTCTCCTCCTCACTCCACGATTTGGGAAGCCCAAATTGCTCAGCTGGAAACCTCTTTTTTCCCTCTCACTCAGTCTGATTCAAGTCGCACGCATGCCGCTGGCCTTTCCAAGCCTCTGCGGGCCAAGGTCACTAAATGACCGGATCCCAACCCCCTTCAGCCATCAGTTCTGCCGGCGCTGGCTGCCTCCTCTCCCCTGTGCTCTATTCCCAGAAGTTTCCGTCACTCCGCCCAGCCCGAGGTCCTCAGTGAGAGACTCCAGCGTGGATTTTAATTGCCTCAATCAGCAGTGTTCCTCCTCATCCGTCAATCAAAACCTGGACGGCGAGTGCTTCTACTAGGCGCTTGGCCGCAAGGCACTTGCGCGCCCCGGGGCCGAGGCGGCCCATCAGCTGGCCCTGGGTCTCCCGAGAAAGGGCGCCCTTCCCCCGCTCTGCCCTCCTCAAGCTCTTGAACTGTTCCAAGTCAGGCCGGACAGCTTGGGCTCTTGAGGGCGCCGCGACCTCGACACCTGCTCGGACAGAGGCGGTCGGGAATCCGCGCTTCCTTCCCGCAACCAAAGCTAGACCTCAAACAATAAACACGCCCTTCGAAGCGCGTGTAAAACTGGTCCCAGTCACCCCGCCCGCCTAGCCGAGGTCTCCCTGGCCCGCCTGTGGTGGAGGCGGCGCCCGCCGCGCGGCAGCACCCTGGACAGCGCCCGCGCCGCGCAGCTCCTCGCTCTGGGCTCCCGGGGCCCGCGCCTCCGCCCCTCGCGCTGACTGCGTCCCGCTCCCGCCCACAGCCGCCCGGCACCCTCACGACTCAGCGTCCTCCTCCCTCCCCCCATTCCCCTCTGCCGCCCCTCACCGTCCCCGCTGGGCTCTCGCTCCCTCAAAACGCCTGGGCGCTCGGCGCTTCCGGATCTGCGGGCTCTTTCCTCTCCACCTTTCAGAGCGTCGCCACAGCGCGAGGCCGGGACCCCGACACGCGCGCACACGCACACACGCGCGTCCGCCCCGCGGGATCCCGGCCAGCCGCCGCCGCACCCGCGACCCGCTCCAGCCATGGCCTCTCCGGGCTCCGGCTTCTGGTCCTTTGGGTCTGAGGATGGCTCGGGGGATCCCGAGAACCCCGGCACAGGTAGGAGACGCGATGGCAGCGGGCAGCGGGCAGCTCCGCCGGCGGCGGGGTTTGAGGGATTACGGGGAGACGGAGGAGGCTGCGCCCCGGCGACGGAAAACTTCGCGCCTCTGCCCGCGCTCACTCGGGAGAGTCCTTGGTGGCCCGAGAGCTCCACAGCCCTCAGTCCCCCAGAAAGACGGCCCCACGACCTCGGGTTCCTCCGCCTGCGGCCGGGAGGGCTCTCCAAAGTCGGCGGTCTCAGAGACAACGAATTTGGCTGCCCGGCGGCGCGTGTGGCGTGAATCCCGACCTGGGGCCGATCGAGGCGGGGAAGGGAGAATGGTGACGGGAAGGGGATCCGGGTCTGGAGACTGGACGAGAGTCTAGGAAAGCCGGGCGGCGCGAAGCCGGGGTTCGCCTGTCCCGAACCCACTGGGAGTCGAGCGCTGGAGCCAGGCGTCCTGGTCGGGTCACAGATCGACGCCCGGCCGGCCCGGGCGCTGGTCCGCTACGGGGTAGGAAGGCGGCCTCAGAACGGCTCGGGGTCCGTGCGCGCGTAACGAAATTCACAGCTGTCTTTCCGCTTCGCGTCGGCCTGCCTTCCCGTGCAGCGAGAGCCTGGTGCCAGGTGGCCCAGAAGTTCACCGGCGGCCTTGGGAACAAGCTGTGCGGTGAGTGCGGGCGCGGGTAAGACAAGCGGGCAGGGCGGGCGACTTGGACCCGCTGGACAGACGCTGACTCGGGCCGCTGCGGGTGTCCCTGTGCAGCCCTGCTCTACGGAGACGCGGACAAGCCGGCCGACGGCGGCGACAGCGCGGCCCCGCGGGGCTCTGCCAGGAAAGTGGCCTGCACCTGCGACCAGAAGCCCTGCCGCTGCAGCCACACGAAGGTCGACTACGCCTTTTTGCACGCAACAGGTAAAGGCGCTGCGGGTCAACTGCACCCCTGCCCCGCCCACTGGGCCCGGCTGGGAGCCGGACCCGGCTTAGAGGTGCTGGGCGGAGATGACGCCGTGGGGGTCTGAAGCTGAGCGGAGACGCCAGGCGCGCTCTGTGCAGCCCTGCGCGGCCGCTTACCTCCAAGCTCGGGCGGCGGGCACTCGTGCGCTCCTGGTTCGGCTCTGGGTTTCCAGGATCTTAGGGCATTGGGAGGGACACAGTTTCCGGAAGAAACTGCGAGGGAATTCAGAGTCCCTGGGATATTTTAGGGCTTCAGATGAGATCGCAAGATGAATTCATTGCTGCAAATTAATAGGATTCCACCCCCTGAGGTCTGCGGGCTGAATTTTATCCTCGTGCACGCTCAGACTCAGTCTCCCAAACTCGCCTGCACACATACACAAACAAACACGCACAGAGACACAGCACACTGACTGGAAACAGGGGGTGTACAACAGAGCAGAAAGCCTACATTTTAATGGCCAGTTTTGCCTGACTTCCAGGAAGACAAATGTTTCTCAAGCATTTTTGACGGGAAGTATCTCCTGAAACATTTAGGGTGATTCCCTGAAAGAAAAATATAGAGAACAAACTCCTGTAAAATCGAGAAAAGGAGGCACTTGCTCATCTTGGGGGAGCGGGGATGAAGCGAACGGTATCTTACGAATTGAAATGCTGGAATTCATTTTGGTAAAAGAAATTCACTACCCTGTCTTTGAAAAATGCTTTTCATCGATAGGAAATACTCTGCGTTCCAAAAGCTGACTTTTAATATAAAATAAAATCTCTCCATTCAAAGGGTGATTGTCTGATCAAGATCTTACCTGAACGTATCTACAGTAAAGTTGAAAATGTGTTATTTTATTCCATGCTTTAGATCTGCTGCCAGCGTGTGACGGAGAAAGGCCCACTTTGGCTTTTTTGCAAGATGTTATGGACATTTTGCTTCAGTATGTGGTGAAGAGTTTTGATAGATCAACCAAAGTCATTGATTTTCATTATCCTAATGAGCTTCTTCAAGAGTATAATTGGGAATTGGCCGATCAACCACAAAATTTGGAGGAAATTTTGATGCATTGCCAAACAACTCTAAGATATGCAATTAAAACAGGTATTGTCCAATCAAAAAAATAAAGCAATTTCTTATATGATTTTTTTCTATAAGAATGTTTTCTGTTGTGTAATTATGGGCATATTAAAAGATATAAAATTATTTTCATCATTTAAAATGACCTTTAACAGAACGAACAAATTCACAAGCACCTTTTCTTATTGCTAATGCACCGGAAGTTGGCAATACTAGAAACATTATCTTAATAGAAATAATCAGGCTGCATTTGGCCACGTAGTTTATCCATTGGTGTAGAAGCAACCATTTGTCAGCAGAGGCCAGTAGAAGCGACCCAAACTGAAGAAAGAAGTGGAATATGGAAATGAAATCTCAAAAGCATGAGCCAAACAAAAGCCAGAATCCCAGTGTTGTGCTAGCCATTTCTTTGGCATAGAACTGGTCAGAAACTGGGGTAACCACCCGATGTAAGCATTGAGCTGGAGATACAGTGTTATGACATTGTCTCAAATGGCCAAGAGTACTTCCAACTTGAATTTCATGATTTTCAGAAAATCTCTCTCTCTCTCTCTCTCTCTCTCTCTCTCTCTCTCTCTCTGTAATATAGACTACTTTAGCAATCCAATCGTGTTATATAAGGATATGCGTCCTTCAGAGCTATTGTGTATGCAAGATAAGGAAAGGGAGAGGGGAAAATCCGATATCCTTAGGGGCACATTTTTAAAAACCTATTTCATGGTCTATTGGCTTTTCACAATATTCTTACATTCTGTTCACTTTATAAGGCTGGACATAGCATTTATTTGGGTGCATTCCAAGCTTTCTGTTTATCTACACGAAGTCAGTCATTCATCTATTCAGATCCTGACTTACCCCGCTTTTTTCTACATTGTCTCTAATCATCATGACGCTTCATGGTCCCGCACTTCATTAAAGCAAAAAATAACTGTGGGATAATTTCTGGTGGAAAGGAAAGATTTGTAGTTTAACTGATCTGTAGCTTTTTAAAAATTTGCTAACAAATAAAAATCTGAATGATTATGTAAACATTCGAGGAAACAACATATTTTATGCAGCAATTTTTACTGGTGAATTGTCAGTATGTATTAGTTTCATCAACAACAAATACTTAAGAATGTTTGCTATGAGATTTTTACCTTTTTAAATATGTACCTTGTATCAACAGAGAAGGAAGGTATCATAGGTTAAGATTCGGGATATTGATTTATTGTATATTTCTCCACTTCTGATTAACTATAGATTTAGAGCCAGGTATACAGGAAAAGAAATTGTTGACTAAAACTCAATCTGTGGAGTATGATTTTAAAGATTTACTAAAGATCATCCTCAATTAATGTCACTGCAGAACCCACATGATATACATACCTGGCATTAAAAGATCTCTCTCTCTCTCTCTCTCTCTCTCTCTCTCTCTCTCTCTCTCTCTCTCTCTGCCTCCAGGTTTGTAGGTACACCTGAGTGATGCTTTTAGTTCATTTTTCTTGGGCCCATTTTCCTTATCTAACATCTAAATATATCAGTTGCAAATTACTACCTATTGTTTACAATACTACCAAACCGAAAAGAACCCATAGGACTATTTTTGCATCTTCATCCTGAAAAGCTGGTGCTTTTTGAAATGCAATTGAAAGCATTAAGATGCTGGAACTTGCAAGTCAATGAAAGTGATAGTTCTGTCTATAAGTGTTCTATTTAGCATCAGGCAAAGAGGGACCAATTCAATACTTAGATTTTGCCATACTGCTTGTGAAACTTAGTCAATTGTTGGTCTAGTGCTTTTTATTTAAAGTTCAACTAAAAATCTGATGGATCAAGTTGGCTTTCTAAACAAAGTGTCTCAATATTTTCCATATTTCAATATTATTTATAACGTATTTCATCTTCTAGCCTTCTCTCTCCAAATAGCATTTCAGAAAGTTAGCAGCACATTCTCTCTCTCTCTCTCTCTCTCTCTCTCTCTCTCTCTCTCTCTCTCATTTTTTTTTCAGAATGGGGGATTGAACTCAGGCCCTTGCACTTGCCAGGGAAGGGCTTATTCCACTGAGCCATCTCCCCAGCCCCACCTTTTCTCTTTAGCTCTCAAGTGTATAGATTTTTATGCTCTATCATGTTTGTCAACTATCATTATTTAGGATCTGTTGAAGTAATTACTATCCCCGGGTCATCCTACATTTTTATAATCCTCAGAAGATTCTTTTATGAAATCCTACTTATCTCTCGAGTCCCAGAGAGTCCTTAACCTAATTTCCACTTGGACTCCACACTTAGAAGGGAGGGTATGGGGAACTACTAAAAAAGAACCCTCATGTATTGCTAAAATTACTTTGTAAAGAAATGTTGGAACTGGAAACTTCAGGGAATGGTAAGATCCTGAAAGCATTTGCAGAGTTAATTGGATCACCTGGTGGTTGAGGTGGCTGGTGGAGGGAGGCAGCTAGGGGTAGGGATAAATGTTGTCTTAAATCTTTAATCATCAACGGGAATTACAGCATCGATAAATGAATCTGTCCTTGTGTAGATTGCCAGTATATAAAGAATTGTTCAGTTACAATGGCTTCTGGCCCCTCCTCAACTGATTATGAGCATCAAGTCAGAATTGCCAGAGACTGCACACCCTCCTGGGACCATTTGCTGATCTTCAGGGACAGTGCCAGCACCTGGGGCAGCCATGGTTGTGCAGAATGTGTGTGGCCAGACATTCTCCTTTGCCGCACAATTCACACAGCTCACATGCTCTGCCTGGGGTGCCCAGGGCTGTGGGACAGGTTCTGGCTCACAAGCAAGTCTTACTCTTTCTGGTAGCCCTGCCTAGACAGCCTGTATGGGCCACTGGTGGAGAGCAAATGTAACTATGGGAACATTTCTGCCAAACCAGTAGGGCATCCTGTTCTGACCTGTCCAGCCATCCCTCCATATTTTCATTTCATTATCAGTAAAGAAACCTTTGAGGCAGGAGAGATCAAAGTGAAATAGTAAATCAAATTCAAATATATGTATATAGAGAGAAAACCAGGAATTGAAACATCATACTTGTTTTCTCTGTTTACCAAAAGTGCTCCTCAGAATGAGTCAGCTGTCTGATGTCCTGAGCACAGCACACACCTTGGAATTCCTCTCATAGTACAAACCTTGGAATTGGGAGAGCTTTTCATGCTAAAGTTTGCATAGAGTAAATATTTTGTGTGATATTAGTCACCAGGTTCATCTAGAAAATGCATGAGTTGGGACAGTAGATTAATGGATATATTTGATAATCCTTATTAGTTTCCTCACTTTAAAAAATGGCTGAGGAACAGAAATGAAAAAGCATCAGGAAGGAGAAGCTGGCTGCAGCTTCAGCTGGGAATGCTAATGAAATGAGGAGTCAATGAGGCAGAGAGGAATGCGGGTTGTCCAGATGTCAGCGTGGTGGCATAGAAGAACTTTATGCTTTTCCTGAATGGATGAACTGATAGACTCAGTATCAGAGGGCCTGAAACAGGGCAGAAAAGATAGACAGCCCTGGTGTGAGGCCATAAAGGAGGTAATAAAACAATGCTGTAGAATGGACAAAACATGCACAGATCTGATCCAAGGTTTCTACAGTTTGTGCCTCCCCAGCTCCTATCTTTTCCCAGTGTCAATGCTCCAGCCACATGCCTGGGGCTGATAAGAGAGCACACCAGTCTACAATATGAGCTGTGTGTTGACTTTTGTCCCCACTTTCCCCATTGCTTTCCTTTCTCTTGTCTTGCCCTGCTAGTGATGACAGACAATCACATCCTTAGGCTTCACACGTTTCCCATAAGTGATAGGTACCTTTTATCAGATGCTATTTCCATAATTGTCCATCTTCCAAATATTTTGTTGCTAAGAAAAGTATGGATTTATTGATAGGCTTTATAAGTCAAGATGAGGAGACATAATTCTAATGAGATATTTATAATCACATTTTAAATAGTAGTCCCCAGGAGTATGTGGATGTCAATCTGTTTTTAGAGAAATTCAGAAATTAATTAGATAAGCCTTGCTAATGGACCAATCAGTCTATTGAATATATTTTAAATCTCAACTGTGAGTGAGCTCTATTGTTTATAATCAAATACTCAGGCAGAGAAGGATGGATAAGAATTAGCTTTATCTGTGCCATCTTTAGACACGCATCACCTTTTTGACTCCAGGGCAGATCATTCAGCAAAGTGTCCTATTTTCTCATTTTTGCCCTGTCTTTTATAATCATTGGCCATTTGTCACTGATATTATTATGAATGTCGGCATGCCTGGCAGATGTCACGGTATGACTGATTTCCAGAACAACTCAACAAAGGGCTTTTAGCAGCACGAAAGCAAACAAATAACTTGTCTTTGAATTGTTTAGGGTTGCAATGGCATTTTAGTTTGCAAATATACTGAAAGCATAGTACGATATGATCTACTGTCCAGATTGCAAGACAAATTTGTTATTTTTTATAGCACATGCTTAAAGGGAGATTTTTCAAGTGTATTTTTAAAAATACTAAAACCCAAAGTAGCTGTGTGGTTAGAGGCAGTGTTCTCCATGTGAGAGGGTGTGTTCTTATGCACTACGTTTTTTGTACATTTGTGTATATTCAATTCCTGTTCCTGAAAGAGCTTTCAAGCTTCTTTGGCTAGAAAAATCATACATGTGAGAAGCATGCATTTTCATCAGTGTAAGCCTAATTCTGGTGTCCCACTTCATTCAGGTCATCCTAGATATTTCAATCAGCTTTCCACTGGATTGGATATGGTCGGATTGGCTGCAGACTGGCTGACATCAACAGCGAACACTAACATGTTAGTAGCTGAATACATCTTTGTATAATACAGGATAATTATTAGTAAGATTGCATAAAGTCTATTTCTTATATGAAAATCCATTCTAATTAAGTAGCTCCTAAAATAGTGATTCCAAATTCAGAATTATGTGACTGTTCACCCTTATTTAACAGAAAATAGACCTGATATGTTTTGAATGCAACTAAACTATACAAAAGTTTTAAAATATAAAAGCATGTCTTTGGACATATTGGATTCATAATGATGTATGATGTATAAAACAAAGTGGAAATTGAACTAGATGTTGTCTTTTACCTAGTGTTACCCTTCTATGGTCTTTATTGAATATGATAAGCCTATATGTTAATAATTAAAGCTCTTGGCTGTGAGAAATGAGTAAACCTTTCAGAAGACTTTTTTTAGTCTCTCTATTTAATGTAATTATAACATCTGTGAGTGTAAGTTCTGAGAAAGGAAATCATTCTATATTTTAATGAAAAATTATTCCTTTGAGTTGCATCCATAAACTGGTCCTTTCTACACTTCAGGTTCACCTATGAGATTGCTCCAGTGTTCGTGCTTCTGGAATATGTCACACTGAAGAAAATGAGAGAAATCATTGGCTGGCCTGGTGGTTCTGGCGATGGGATATTTTCTCCTGGTATAGTGATATTTCAGCTTTTATCTGTGGTTGTTTATGGGTATGATATGCCTTGCTATGATCCTAAGAAAATTAGGTATCTAGCTCATATTTCAGATTAAATTATATGGGCTATGTGTTGATAAAAAGCATGAGTATGGCTAAATAATGACCATCAGTATGCCTCCAGTCTAACTATTCCAAGCTCAAATGTGTTATTAATGTTCTAGACAAGGATAAAAAGATGGTATTTATTTAGTACTTCTGTGGTCCTACACTATATATATAATGTGCGACAGTGGAAAAAAGATTCCTAATAAGGGAATTCACTCTGTAGTATCATTCCTAGAATTAGTGGAAAAAAAAAAACCAGTAGCCTCAATTAATCAAACATTCATTCTTCAAATGTACATCACAAGGTAGACAGACTCAATAAGAAAGGATGCATGGCTCCAGTCTATGAAATAACAATGCTGATTTATACTCACTTCAAGGAGGGCAGCAAATATGGGAAATAATTTCTTAGAGCTGAAAAGGAGTAGTAATTTCTTTGAGAGATTTCTCGTTCCTTCTCTTCTTTATCATTTCACTCAGTCTTTTCCATCTTGCCTTTTATGACCAGCCATTCCATCCTGAGCTCCTTTATTTACACCTCTCCCAGCCCAGAGAGTCTGCCTGGAATGAAACACTGTGCGCTGGGTTCATGCGTGACCTTGGTTTGATGAAGAGAAGAAATAGGAGAGTTAGGAAGGCAGTGAGAGGGAGAGTCATTGACCCAGAAAAGACACTAGTGAGCAGGCTATCACCTAATCAGCCCCAGGAGAGGCAGGTATCACATGCTGAGAAAGTCCTGCTGGACTGGCCAGAGCCACACCTGCCACTGTGCTGGCAAATCTCCAAAGACAAGTGGATGATGAGGGGAAAGACAAGGAAAGAAAAAGTGACAGTGGATTTGGTCTGGGGCTTCCATGCAGCATGGGTGCCTGCAGCTCGGCTCTGCCGTTTTCTTCTATGTATTTAAATACATAGCATATATTTTTCAAGTGCTAAAGGAAAAAGTGTTAGCTGACTGGAAAGGAAAATTAGCCTTTTTTCCAAATGTTGAACACCAGCTGTGTGGACTTTTAAGCTAGCTTTTAATTTTTTAGGAAATTTAGTACTAATTTTCCCTTGGATTAAATTTGTAAATTTGTCATTATTACCTGAAAATGATGATTTGAAGGATTTTCCATGAGGAACTGGATAAGTTTGGGAAAGCAACCTCATTTCTACCTTTACCACACTTGCTTTCATGTTTGCTTGTAAAAACGAGCTGTCCCTGAGACACACCACCCTCATCTGTCCTCTAGTTTAATAGTTCCCAGAAAGGGCAGAGAACAGTTGTGTCTTTTGACTGAAAATTGAACTAACTTGTGGAGGGCCCAGGTCTAATTAACCTGTTTGGTCTTGGAACCTGCATGGCCCAGGAAGCACACTCTCAGAGAAAGAACCCTCTTCGCTAGCTCTGTTAGGCTAGATGGAACTTAAGGTGTACTGCTCCATCTTCACGGATGATGGGGACTCATCAGGCAGAGAAGACTGACACTTGATTATCGGGTTCCTTTTCTAGAGCCTAAACATCACTGTGCTCTCCATCAAAGAAGGAAGCTGTAGGAGTCATACTACACTGTCATGTAGATATTCCTAAATCAGAGGTGGCAGCAGAGAGACTGACTTCATATGTGTTTCTTCTCAACTTTCTATAAGGGATCACAGAGGAGAAGCAACTCCTACCTGTGGTTATTTGCCAGGCATCACATCCCTTTCATCCGAGACTAAACTCAAATAGAGAAGTGTATGACTTGAATACAGAGCTGGGCCTCTGAGCCCAGGAATACTTTTCAAAGCACAGCCAATAAGGGTTTCTCCCCTGTCCAAGAAGGGCTATGAATCAGTGAAAACAAGAAGGCTGCTTGCATGTGAAATGTTAAGCCGGAGTAGAAGTAACTGTGTGCTGCTGTCCTCCAGGTGGCGCCATATCCAACATGTACGCCATGCTGATCGCGCGCTACAAGATGTTTCCAGAGGTCAAGGAGAAAGGAATGGCTGCTGTCCCCAGGCTCATTGCTTTCACGTCGGAGCACGTATGTGTTTCCCTCCTTTCCGAGTTTACGTTATATGCGGTAAATCTTAGGAGGCTGGAAGTGTTGAATCCTTGCGGTTCTGTTTCTGAACGCATTCTTGGGAGAACACGGAGAGGAGGACAGGCGAGTAGCCGAGTAGTGGCCTTCTTTGTTTGGAGGTTCAGGAACACCTCAGAGAAGAAGTGGAAGGATCCCCACCCTTAGCATCTCTGTAATGGCATTGTGTGCTGGGAGATGGAGAGGGAGTAAGAGTGCACAGTGACTGTGAGCACCTTTGGCCCACCGAAGCCATGTTCCCTAAGACTACAGTTCCCTGGTGGTAGAGCCTTCTGATTACAAATTCAGTCAAATGATCAGATAAATAGTCTTCCATCATAGTTCCTCGAGCCATTTAATATCAGTGTTTGGGCTTTGGGCCCAAATTTATCTCAGAGGAGTCCAGGTTCCTGGTTATCGCTGGCCTACTGGCCAGGCCAAGGCCGAGAGCTCTGGTCTTTGTTTTTGAGCATGGTGGCAAAGAGCCTGGTATTCTTTCCTCGGTTTTCAAAGAGCTTTGCCATTCCTCATGGCATTACCACAACAATGAAAACAAGGAGCCCAACCTGTCCAGCTACCCACACAGCTCCACCAGCTTTCTCTCTCTGCCTGAGGTAAAGCAGCAAATGAGCCCAAGCCATCCTGCAGCTATCTGTGTAGCACCTTGGTTCCAGTCCCTCTTGCCACCCAGCCTGCAGGCAGCCAGAGCTCTCTGGGCCTTAACACATGTCAGATGAATGTTGTTTGTCATGTGATTCAGAAGACTGTTACTTCATGATCTCTGTCTCAGAGAGTCTGGAAAATAATTGCCTCCAAGAAACCAGGAAGCCCTTAGAAGGCAGGGAAGATAGAAGATGAGAAGGAGAAAGACAGTGCACTGGGAGACTAAGGGATGCTGTAAAGAGTCATCAGTTGGGTAAAGCAGGGAACATAGTGGGTCTCAGATCTCACTACAGACCTTTTCTTTTAACTGTTTTAGTAGGATTCATATTGTGCTGTATTTATAAAAAGTAAGCAAGGGGTAAATACAGCTTGAAAAACCACTGGCTATGGTTCATTACTATAGCAGTAGCCAAGGAATGAAAAGAAGCAAATAATTATTTGTGAAAAACACTGTTTTGAGCATCTTGTTTTGGGCTATATTTTGGAGTTTTGCTAGTTGTAAAACACTTTTCCTCAATTTAAAAAAGTCAAATTTAACAGAAGCCCACAACCTGAAATGACCTATTGTTTTTCCCTCTTATTGTTACTAGAACAAAGCACAAACTTAGTGGTTTAAAACAGCATGAAGCCATTATTTTCTGCACTGGAGGTCAGGAATCTGAAATGGAAGAAGTAGGGCTGTGCTCTTCCTGGGGCCTCTTACAGGAAATCCCTCCCCTTGCCTTTCCAGCTTCTAGAGCCTGCCTACTTTTCTTGGCTCATGGCATCTTCCTCCATCTTCCAGCCCAGCTGAAGATCATCTCCAATCTTAAAATCAACCCCTGACACCTGCCACATTTTCTTCTCTGGCTCTAACCTTCTGCTTCCCCTTTCACACATAAAGCCTCTTATGATTACACTGGGCATACTTGAAAAATTTAGGATTATTTCCCATCTCAGTAACTTTTACTTCATTATATCTATCAAGCCCCTTTTGCCATGTAACATAATATATTCACATAATATATTCACTGCTTTGTTAGGATGTGGGATCCCTAACAGTCCAGGGGTCTATTACTCAGTCTACCATACCTAGTACCACATATTTTTACTTCTTCCAGGGGAAAAATTCAAGATATAATTTTTCATCTCAATGACTATTTCCCTAAAGTGTATCTGGACTACCAACTAACTAAATGTCACCATAATTCAGCCTCAAAAAGCTCAGCTGATCTTGTGGGGGATCTTTTTCTTTGGGCTGTTAAGCTATTTCAAGTTAAAATGCAGTTGGCCCGGCAGCAGGCTGTCCTGTGCACTGTGCTCGCCACTGCTGGTTTCTGCATGAGCTTTTCAGCTCTGACTTGATGTGAATTGATTTAGTACGTTCTAGAGCACGTGACCTGGGAATAATGTTGTGTGCTTTTCTCCCCCTTGGATTGCAAGCACAGAGCCCACTTCATCTCCGGGAGAGAGGCAATTTGGCTATACCACCACCCTCTTTCCTGTCTCCACAACATAATTATGAATGATCACTCAAGTTATGAATCTTTCCTAAGATACCAGCTGGTTCTACCTGTAGGCCTGCATTGCTTTTTCTGGTGGTGACACTAAGGATCCAGTTGAGGTCCTTGAGCATGCCAGGCACTTCTCTACCACTGAGCTACATCCTTCTTGACCCCTAGGATTACTATTTTGGAAAGATGAACTGTTTTCTAAAGTTTACTGACTGACATGTGATTACTATTTGACAGTACCAAGATACTTCCAATGCGTATAAACTTGTTTGATTCTCACAACCTTGTAAGGCAGGTAAAAGGGCTGGAGAGATGGCTCAGTGGTCTAAAGCACCTACTTAGAACAAGCTTAGCAAAGCACAGGGACCATGGTTCAATCCCCCAGCACCACATGCCAGCCAGCCCCGCCCCCTGGTGGGCTGAGCTGGCCACACACACACACACACACACACACACACACACATATAAATAAATAAATAAAAATTAAAAAAAAAAGTAAGGCAGGTAAAAGAGATTGTTGTCAAGTTTTGAAAAATGAAGCCCTTAAGTCAGTGAGGCAGAGAGAGCCAGGATGCAGCCAGTTTCCTGTCTCCCAGACCACTGAGGTCACTGCTGTAGAGACCAAATTTTAAAAACTGCATCAAAATTTTATACCCAAGAACTCATTGAATGGCCAAATATTTTTGTATCTTCCCTAACCAAATTTCTATCAAAAATTAAGTTTATTGGTACATTTTAGATATACATAATGATCACATTCATCATAAGGAATTTATAGCTGTAGATCATATAGCTTCTTTTATTTTTCCCATTACCCTACCTGCCCTTCAACCCCTCTTCACCTTCTTATTTACAAAAACTTTGTTTCTGTATTTTTTCCTTCTTTTCTCATTTTTCTCCCCTTCCTCTTTTTTTTGGAGTCAACATCTGACTATCTAGCCCAGGTTGGCTGGGATCACAGGTGTGTGCACCATCACACCTGGCCCAAGAGGTTTTTTTCTCAAGGGGAAGATGATGCTAAATGATACTTTCTCCTCCAGCTCAAGAGAAAGCCTCTTCATTAGCTCCAAGGGCTGGGTTGGAGGAAACTTTCTGAGCTCATTTTAAACACTCCTGTGTCTCCTTGGACACTTATCCCAAACCACTCTGGACAGATGTAAGAGTCAGTCCTGCCCTTGACACTTCAGGTTGAAACATCACATGATCCCCATCTTCAGCTCCTTGAGCTCTAGACCTCAGCCCATTCTGTTCAATGTACCACTTCATGAAGCTTCTTCTGGTGTCAGACCAAGGAGATATGTCTCCTCTGTCTACTTTAGTTTTACAACCACTTCCTCTGCTCCTATCCCAGAAATATCTCTCCACAGATGGGAGACAGGAGATTCCCTAGGCTTTTCTCAAATGTTTTTTCTCTAGGGTAAACCAAGTCAGAGTTTGTGTGGTGGTGTCTTTCTTACAGAAGGAAGGGGAAGTGATGCTGGAGCATTGACCTCAGCAGGGGAGAGGACCCCAGTGACTGAGGCAGTACTTGAGGCGGGCCTGCGGCAGATGTATTTCTTCTTGCTCTTTGAGATGTTGCCACAGTCCAAACTCTTGAAGAAAGAGCCTGAGGAATAAGAACCTTGCCTTAGTGCCTGAACTTAGGAAGCTCTATGTAAATCCTAGGTATCTTTGAAAAGCAATCACCTTTCTTTATGGTATTAAGAAGCAAAGCCCCAGAATTGTGGCACAATTTGCCCAAGGTTTCACATCCAGTTGACGGCAGAGCCAGGTTTAGAGCCTCAGTTTCCTAACCTTCCAACACTGTTCCTTCAACTGGGCTGCATGACTGAACAGTCCTATGACTGGGTGCCCCGAGGTTTGTGGCATCTTGTCTCCAATCTTACTTTATCCATGTTGGTTATTCCAGTGTTAATATAATTTCCTAATCTACTGAATTACTGTTCTTTCCTATATTTTGAGCACTGAGTTTGTAACTTGGTGTGTTCAGGACTGTAGAGATGGGAAACTATATATTGGGAAGTTCTGTAGTCTATGGCATCTAGCCAGAAATGCCACACATTAGGAAAGGGAGAATCATCTTTGGTTTTCTGTGTAACCATTCACTATCTCTGTTCTACCACTACAGGGCTACCTCTTTTCTGACCACTCAAAACAAGGCTAAAACTTTACATAACTCATGAGGAAGGCAAGCTATTCTTATTTTTTGCTTGTTCCAATAAGCTGTTTTCATGTAAAGCTTGAATAAAACTTACTATTGCTGTAAGCCATACCTGATGATTAGGTTTACATGGAAGTTATGATCTCCACTCAATAATTTACATCTGTGGCTCTGAATCCTTTGGAAACTGAAACCATAAGCTCAGTTTCACAATCCTCTTAGTCCTCATGTGTCAAAGCTTTTCCAGAAATAGCTTCCATGAAACAGCATAATATTATCTAGGAGTAATGTTCATGATAATCCTAGCAGACAGCAGGATCTTTCAGGCAAATCCATGACTCACACACTCTACTTTGCCTGCACCAAGCTCAGCTCACGTCCACATCTCCTGGAAGCAGGGCTCGTTTCCCAATGCTGGCCCACTTTTATGGAGACGTAATCCTCATAATGGCTTTAAGAAATGGTTTGCACATATGACTAATAGAGAGGGTTTCAACTCTAAAAGTAAATCTTAACCAACAACAAAAGTGTTCCCCAAAAAAATACGGTTTTAGACCGGTTGATCATCAGAAGCAAAAACAAAGTCGGCCAGTGTTTCTAAGGCTGATGAAGCCATCATTTCCCTCAGAGCTTAAGGTGGGTAGGGT